AATTACAATACCTTTTTTTCCTCTTTCTAAATTAGGTCATGAGTTCGGTTCCCGGTACCGAGAAAAAAAAAAAAAAAAAAAAAAAGATATAAAGTCCTATCTCGTATCAAAAAAACCCAAAAGATTCTAAGACACATCACTGACAATAGGGTTGGAAAAAACACTTGGGTTTGGTCTTATTACAAGTCACTAAATGATCCTTCTGTTTTCATTGAATACCAAGTGCAAAGCAAGTCTCCTGAAGAGACTGTATACATCTATACAAGTGGAAGAAGAGACCCCAACGTGTGACAACGCAAGCGCAAAAAGGTTACGAGGCACCTGGGGAACTATCACAGAAGCCTGTAAGCCCGAAGTCCATTTGTAATGCTGCCATTTATTGAATAATAATTCCTTTGTATCCTGTCAGTGTTTACTCACAGGGTATGTTAGAAATGTATGTATTGGTTGAAGAATATTGGATCATAAAAATACATTTTTTTTTTTTTTTTTGATCAGTACTATCCCTGGTAGATATGTTTTAAGCAAAAGTGCTGGAAATCAGTTTCTCTTGAGATCAACAGACTTAAGTGGAATAGACAGCTAGACTTTGAGGGAGGAATGAAACTTTCTTGCTGTGCAGAAATGCTCCTGAAGCCCTACTTTGCTTTCAGATACACAGAGCAAATGACGACCAGAACCTGATTATCTGGAGACTGAATGTTCCCTAGAAACTTAGCATGTCTTAGAGACAGCTGCTTCCTCTTTATTTGATGTTCACCAATTGTTGGCCATGGACAGTAGCAGGCATCATTATTCTTCCATGCCTGCTTGCTCGAAGTGTGGTCAGGGACCAGTAGCTCTGGCATCACCGAAGAGCTTGTTAGAAATGCACCATCACAGGTCCCACCCACACCTCCTCACTCAACATCTACATTTCAACAAGACTCCAAGGTGGCTGGGAAGCACTGCTTTAATGAACAGAACATGAAAGCAAGTCAGAAGGCCCAACTTGAAGCCTCAGATCCATGATTTAGCAGGTGTTTAAGAGTGGGCAAGACAGGGCTGGGGATTTAGCTCAGTGGCAAAAGCGCCTGCCTGGCTATAGCGCAAGGTCGCGAGTTCGGTTCCCGGTACCGGAGAAAAACCAAAAA